GGGAGGGGAGGGGCACATCCGAACAAATATCAGGATGCTCAGGCTATGACACAAACAGCTCTGATTACTTACCACATTGTCCACCAATCACCTGATGACTTCAATCTCACAAAAACCACAGACCAGCACTATTATAATGGATTTGATAGTTTAACAGTTTTGAATGCATTCTAACATAAGCAGGGGCCCTGATAAGGATGCTCCTGTCTGGCCAGAGCCACAAAACTTGTGGAAGTGGGCCACTGCAAGCATGGCATGATACGAGCCCTGAGTCCATTCAAATGAACAGTGCACTTATTATAAGAAACCCTTCAAGAGTTAGAACTGTTCGTGTGATATGAGTTTGTGACCTTTTTTTAATATGTCAAGCCAAGCTGGGCAAATGACACATAAGACGAACATTAGCCCAACTCAATATCGTTTCTTGTTTTCAGTTTCTCAGGCACTCTGGCACCCCTCCTGCCGATGTGGCAACACGGAGAAACCGAAAGTTATTGAGTGTGCATTTTCTGGCAGATTTTTTGTCGCATGCTAGACACCACAGCTGTCAGATAACTCATGCTCATCCCACGTGCTGTATTCTCAAATAGGCATATGTTACAATTCATGTAGATACCAAACATAGTATTTTCTATCCCTCTCCAAACCTCACTCCTCTCATGGTGGATTGGGATGGTATGTGGCAGTATCAGCAGGGGCACTATACTGGCCCTGCCCTAGCTCAGTAGTTGCAAGGGTGCCAGAACACAACTTAGTGCACATCCAACAGCACGTCACAACAAGCCAAAAACATATGGTATTAGGCAATGACATAAGCAACCGAGAGGTTGTAAATATATATGCAGTTATGCAAGTATATGTACCTCGATTTTTTGAATATTCTTACACATTTTTCTGATTTCATTGAGCCACTGCAGATGAATGGACACACTGTATGGTACTATCAATCACACTAATAATTCCACATCTGACTGCAGCAATATAGTCAATTTGTGCAAATGCTTACCATTTTTTGTGGCAGGGGGAGTGCTGTCCTTGGGGCAGAGTCTAGCTATGACATATTTGGACTACAACTTTTGCAAGAGCACATTTTAACCATGTCATAGCCTGCCATGGTACTGTGCAGCCAATCAGATTGCAGGAATCCCAACCAGCACGGAAAGCTCGAAGTTGGAAGTCTGCTAATAAACTCCCACAATAAGTGTTCAATGAGTAAAGCAGTTGTAGTCATGTTCAGGAAGATGGACCCACAGAAAACCAAAGAACGGACATATATTTGCCAAACTATTCGAGTGCATCGGGTGTATGGTCTGTATAATATATTTGAAGTTTCAGCTCCTTTAAAGCTCAGGAGGATGAGCACTGTGGCAATCACTGAAATTTGAGACTACAAATAGTATTCCCACAACTTCTCGGCATCATGGTTCCCATGGTTGGTCAACATTTGGCACAGCCCTGGTAAAGACTCTTCCTTCATTCCTCAGGACTCATAACTCTGCCATGTGCACTGTGTAGCGGCTTGCACATGCCTCCGACATTCGTGTTTCCAGTTCGCGAATGGGTTCAGTGGTGTGATTTCCCAGTGGGGTCGACTTTCTGAATTTGCCAGTGAGTATTGTGACCTGTGACATACTTCAAATTTTCAACAATTGGTAAGTTTGTCAACTACGAGAGCTGCATGCCCCTGAGGTCTTTAGACGTACCTCACTGTAGAAGCTCACTACTAGGGCTGCAATACATACTATATTGCATTAGACATTGTGGCATACACTAGTTTGAGAATCCCCTTCCCTAGCGAGACAGCAAGTGTGGCCACCTGAAGGGTGGCTGATGGTGGTGGTACAAATGCTCTGGCATGTCTGGTGTGTTGACCTGAGACATCCCCAACAGCTATGGCTTTAAACTTCATGCCTGAGAGGTCGACCGGTCTCAGCTGTCCTACTTCATTCTTACAGAATGCTCATCCAGTCCTGCAGATACCCCATCTGAAGCACAAGAAATTACTACCTGAGGTCCCACTATCCATCCTCCAGTTCCTGCAGTTCAGCCTCCCCCCCATCTCTCCAGTGGCATGTCTGCATAAAGCACCTGCCTTCTTCAGTGCCCTACCTGCCGCAATTGACAACATTGACACTATTCAGCATGACTGCTGCTACATAACCCCTCAGCATCCCTGCTGCCTCCAGCTTGTTGTAGGACGTGAGGCCAACTAGTTACATCCTTTCTGTCACTGACTGCAATCTTTTGTGCCTCCGAAGATCATCAAGCATCTGGCCCTCATGTATGTGGGACATCCAATCCATAGTCGCATATGTTGCAAGACATCGCACAGGTTTGTTGTCTTCAAATTGCTTCGTCTTGTCCTACCAGAGAAGGGATCCAAGAATGTCATAGACATGATCTATGATCTGTACAAGCTCAAGCTGCTTCGAATGTCCACATGCATCACATCTGCTGCAGAAGTGAATCTGTGCTTCCCCAGTGATCATGATGCTTGCGACACACTTCTGCAACTTCCACCCAGTAGGGAATAACCCAGAGTGGTAAGCATTGGTCATTCTTGGCTGTGAGATGAAGGCAGTTTACAGAAGTCTTTCCAGGGTCTTGATAGGGGGTAATGGTGCATTCATACAGAGTCCTGGTGCATGATTGGCTGGCAAAGGACAGGGGAAGATCGGGACAACGATCCATCTCAACAATAACCACACAATTGTGGTGGTTATCAACTTCACTGAGGAGACTATCTTGTATGGAGACTCACTCACCCCAGGCATGAATGCAAAAGTATGTTCCATCTTGAAATGGTGGACTGAGCATCACAGTGGGACAGAGTTTAGAATTGAGCAGCTCCCGATTACAAAGCAAACAGATACCTTTTCATTCGGCCTGCTCGCCATCACTGCGCTGGCCCACATAGAAAGAGTGGGACCTTTGGTAACAGTTTCCACTTTCTGGAAGCTACTTACAGGTAGTGAAACATACTTTTTGACCGCCAGCTCTGAAATTGTTTTTAGCAATTTCCCTCACATATTCCACATCTCATGCTATGCCCTTCAGGGATTGTGGTCACCCCATAGGGTTACAGGTTTACATAAGAATGCGGGAGAATCCAACTGCTCATTAATTAGCTACCGCTTTTCACTTGTAGCCCGCCTGGAGCCTTCCCCCAGCAACCACCACCAATTCTAATGGTCGTGGCAACCTCTCCCTAGTGTAGAGAGTAGTATACCATCAAGCTGCAACAATTGCCAATGATCATGGAGATACACAGATCCACTACCAACTACACCCAAAAACAGCAAGACATTGCTACACCCCATGAAGCAGACATAATATACTCCCGCAAACACTTGCTGATGGCTCTCTAAGTATGCCCCATCCATCATTCAGCTTGTTCCAGCCACTTTCCTGCATTCCATGCATTGGGGTGTGGCAGTTTCCGGGACAGGGCCAGCAGACCACTGCTGACCAGTACTGCAACTGTACCTTGCGCCCACCTTTCTCTAAGGCACACTTGGACCATGAGGCAGGTGGGACAGCTCAGACAAGATGAAAGACTCTGCCCCAAGGACAACACTCAGGCTGCCACAAAAAATGGTAAACATCCGCAACAATTAGTTATATTACTGCAGTCACATGTGGCATTATGAGCATTTTTTATAGTGCAGTGATGGCCAAAAGTAGTGCACACCCTGAATCTGGAAATATGTTCTCATCTGCCACTAAGTACCTCCATGAGAGATTTTACAACTGGCCATACCTCCATGAAAGGTGTAGTAGATATCTGGATAGCTCTTATATAACCTTCAGGTGGTGCTCTAGTGCTTCTAGTGAGTCCCAGAAAAGCAGGGTGGCATTGTGGCATGCATCAGCAAATTTTCCCATAACTGGTATCTGAAAATAATTCGCATATAATCAATTAAAATAAATACCAGTATTACAATATGTACCAGACTTGTGGACAGCTGGGCCAGCCATTATATTCGGATGGCACATGTTGTAAGACTCCCGCAGGAAGTACCAGCAATCAGCGAAATGTAGAGAACTTTCAGAATTCTTCGCGCAGGCAGCCGAGCCTGGAAAGGTAATTATACCCCACTCGGGCCACAGTGCACCACGGCTCACCACTCTTGTTGATCAGGACACAGCATTAGCGGAGCAAAATTGGTGATACCCTACTCCAATAAGTAAGCTGCGGAACGGCTGCTGAGTGCAAAAAATACCAAACTTCTCTATCGTTTTGCCGATTGCTGACAATATGCACCAGACTTACACATATTACAAGCTCAGGCCAGCTTGCTTTGACCCATATTCACACTATCCGCTGTGTTATGCTTGGTATTCTACATCCCGGAATGAAATACAGGCTCAACACATTGGCTGATGAACGCAGTAAACAACATATGATTGCTCAGGCTAGCTACAATACAGGGTTTGCTATGGCTACATGCTCAATACAATACTATCTGGGAACTAACCCCCACCCTACTCAATAGAAAACAAACCATATCACTACAACAAACTACATCAGGGTATATCAAAAGGTGAGATATTAGGGACATACCTAATGCACTAGTCGTCCTGTATGCATAGAACCCGGCAGCAGTACCATAGTCGAACCTGCAAAACAAATCAGAATGCTCAGTCACTAATTGTGAGGGACACACCTAGCGAGCAAGACCCAGACTCCTCCAGCAATCTAAGAACCTCTATTAATATGTGCACACATTAAGGCAGAGGAATGGCTTACCTGCAACAGAGACGTGTCGAGACACGATGAGGGCCTCATCTACATCGCGTCAACCCAGCCATACATGCGCTGTAGGAAGGTACTCAGGGGGAGTTTGACGAGAGGCAACAGGTTCACAAAAAGAACTTACCCATGGGTGCGACGTGGGCACCACTGTCAGGACTTAGCCATGTGAGAGCTGTAGAGAGGACTTCGCCGTGATACAAGAGAGAGAGGGGATTGGCGATGAAGTCGAACTGCGGCGCGCTTTTAAGTCAAGTTCAAAGTCCGACATGTTGAACTTAGCACGTGAGGCAACGCGCATCAGTCAGGTGCCGGTGATTGCTTAGTTGCTAAGGGTATATATATTAGAATGATAAGATAATCCTCAGGTAAGTATATCTCAGCGGGGGCTTCACTGATCATAAATACAAATCTGGTATTCGGCTGGTAATGTGATTGTAGATGTGCTACAATAATCGGAATGTGCACCAGCCACTACCAGCCACGGGACAATTTGCTGATGTGAGCATGGACCATTTCACAGTAATTTGCTTTCAGGGCACTCAGTGTGCTCTATAATTGATATATAAATATTTGGGTTGTTCCAAAACCTCTCCTACTTTCCATAGCACATAATCCACCCCTGTATGTGCCATGAAAAACATTGAGATTGGTGCAAACCTGACCTTTCAGAGGTCACGGGAACACAATCCAAATCGGGTGTGTGCATTACTTTTGGCCGTGACTGTACTATACAGTATGTTCAATTAGCTTCGGTGACCACATGAAGTCAGAAATATGCATAAGACACTCAAAAAATCCAGGTATATTTGCCCAACTGGGTGTGTTCTTACAGGTGCTATTAATAGTAATGAATAGCATGCCTTATAGCCGGGATTCAGGACTCGTATCATGCCATGCTTGCAGTGGCCCACTTCCACAAGTTTTGTGGCTCTGGCCAGACAGGAGCATCCTTATCAGGGCCCCTGCTTATGTTAGAATGCATTCAAAACTGTTAAACTATCAAATCCATTATAATAGTGCTGGTCTGTGGTTTTTGTGAGATTGAAGTCATCAGGTGATTGGTGGACAATGTGGTAAGTAATCAGAGCTGTTTGTGTCATAGCCTGAGCATCCTGATATTTGTTCGGATGTGCCCCTCCCT